AGAGGGACAGGAACACTTAATCAGCATCAGACTAACTGGACGGTGAAGGGGATTAGGAGGAACATTATCAAGGATGGGATGGGCGCAGGATATATAATTATATATAGTTAATTACTAAAAGGGAACAAAAGTGGTTGTTGTTATAAATTTAACAGTACCAAAAATATCAACTCCCAGGTCAATAATCAATACTTTTATCTGAAGTGTTGTTGGGGAAAAGGTTATCATGACACCCAAGTTATGACATACGCTGCTGCAACGATAAGAAGTAAAAGTGAAAACCAACCGAGACTGCAGGGAGAGAGACAGAGCAGTACAAAATCTGGCGGACGCCGAGTAAATTGAGGTAAGTATGGTGAATCTATTTACATCTCACGTTCACGTACGCGTAATTGGAGACGAACACGGTGAAACCAGGGCAGGACAAATAATAATAACATAGTGAGCAGAATATTTATTTTAAAATGAATGCAATGATAGAGTTATGATTCGGGGCAGGATGTTGTTGTGCATAGAGCTGAGCGCATTATGGTTTACAGTGTACTAGTACTACATAATAAGGAGAGGGTCTCGTGTCACACCATGACTAATGCTTTTTTTTTATTTTTTATTTTTCCTGACCATCACCACATGACTGGCTTTCCGAAAACACAATGAAGTTTCTGCACCCCTGCCCCTTTAAATAACTTGCCCAGTTGCCCTTTACTTATGAAGACCCAGCACTCGATTCGGTTTTATTTGACGATTTTAATTTGGATTTGTATCGAGGCCATTTTGACACTATTTTTTTCTCACTTCATGTTTAGGTGTGCCGTCAAAAATAGTTTGAGAATATAAATAAAATTTCCCCATAAAAAAAGAGTTTAAAATTATGCGTGTGGCCTGCAAAAGCAGAGAAATAGCAAGCTTTAATTAGTAATTCAGTTGTTATGGCGGATGGAAGGTTAAATTGAAATGAAAATGTATGTTCAGGATAGGAAATTAAAAGCGTGAAATGAAGTAGGCAGTGAAATGGTCACGGGGGACCAAACGGGATGAATACGGATATATGAACAGGCAGGCGACAGCTATATATTTTCGGAACATGAAGAAATTTATGGTCAGCAATTATGGTAGGGTGATTTTCTACTATATTTCTATCTCTTTTCCCATCGTCGCTTCTTCTTCTGTCTTTTTGTCTCTTTGCTACCAATGCTCTAAGCTCCATATGCTTTTCCCACTCGGCCACTCCTACATGATCTACTTTCCTGCCCTCCACAAATTAAAGACTAGCTTTCCTTCCCCTCCCCAGAGTTTTCCCACAAATTTTCTTTTGTAACACACAGAAGACGCGGGCACTTAATCTTTTATAACTAATTATTCATGGTTTTGAATGATTACCAAATGTGTCAGAAATACAAAGTCTCAAATGTAAGTAAAAGGTCCATAGGTTCTGTTATCTCAATTTACTCAAATGTAAAAATGTAAGGGTAATTGAAAAAATATAGTTTGATTACTAAAATTGAATTACAAAAAAGGAATTGAAATAAGAACTAAATTATAAACACAAAGTAGAAGATAATCTGAGCAGTGAAGTGTTTGAATGAGTTGTTAATTGTTGGTTGTTATTTTCTTTCCTCTTCGAAGCTTTATTTATAATGTTGGTCTAGAGCCATTATGCCTATGAAACAAGGAGATTGATTGCATAGTGTCAAAATATCTACTCTTGTTGAGCATAGTCTTGTAAGATTTAAGGCATGTTCTAGTAACAGTTCCATGTTTAAATAATAGTTTTATTGGATTAATCTTTTTGAATCTTATGGATTATATTTTTTTCACGACTGAATACTAACCCAGTTCAAAAACTCTCCTTTTAAATGGATCGAGCTCTGTCTAGATAAAAGACTTATTAGGCCTGTCGTTTCCTCTTTCATACTTTTAAGTTGTAATTGAGCGTTGTTTTATTATTAGCCCAAGCACTAGCATATATTTATCCAATTAAATCAGAAAAAAAGGATTCTAAAGTGTCAATGTTATTAATTAAAAAAATTTGTTATAAAAATTAATTTCTTCATCAGTTAAAAAGAAACTCGTTCAATATACATACATACATACATGTGTGTGTGTCTGTGTGTGACTGTTGACTAATTATATGACTGTCGATTATAGATATACACACATATACATGGGACTGGTAACAGGAGTAGCACGCGCGAGGTCAGGGTATATAATCATACCCGTTCCTTAATTAAGAAAGAAAGAAATTGCGCGGGCAATGTTAATTGCTTGTATTAAGTTTCCAAATGTACGTGCTATTCATAATTAATTACGCGGGGATCTCAGCATTATTTGAGGATGCAATTAAAATCAAAATTGAGAGGATCTTCGTTTGACATGGAGAAAGGAGGCTTTACCTGATCAATCAAGGTCATATGATCTGCCAAAGTGTAGGGTTTTGGAACCAGAATTGGGTTGAAAACAGGAGTAAGAGAGTGAGCGTGTGGTTAGGAGATGGTGATGGGGACGTAGTAAGGGTGTGTGGAATGTAAAAAAGCAATGACTTTTGGAGCGAGCGTGTAGAAACGGGCAGGGCAGGGTAGGGACCCTGTGGAAGATTAGGAACGTGCTCTTGTCACACTTGATGAGGCTGAGGTGACAAAACTAAGGAACCGATTTTAGTGCTTCTCATACAAATAAGTAGAGAGTTTGTCATCTTTAAATCATTTAAATTTAATTTTAAAAGTCTAAATTTACAATTTTTTATTTTTATTTTTATTTTTTAAAAATTATTCTAATAGATGCATAATCTAAAATAAAGGTAATTTCTTGATTGCCAGGTTTTTAGAAAATAAATTTTTATTTAAAAAACATATGTTAAAAACTGTAAATTTGAACATGAAAATTAAATTTAAACGTAATGAGTTTCAAGTACTGATTTTTATGATGATCACCCAAAGATGGTTCCAAAACCAAAACAGTGCATGGCTACACAAACATGTGAGGGGTACGGCTGGCAGGCTCGGACATTTTGGCTCTCAATCATGCCCCGTACCACAAGACTGGATTCAACGCCCGCCTGTATTCCGAGCTCATCACTCATTGCGCGCATCAAATTTCCTACCTCCCTCTTTGAATTCGTGCTTCCAGATAATCGGGCTGTGATCCACGTTTTCTCTTTGTCATTTCTGGATCCATACATCCCTGCATCCTCGTCAATCATCCTCCGGCGCTCCTCCCTTGACTCATCAAGCCCCCGCCACGATCTTCCACGGCCCATGACCATTAACAACACTCATTCATTCCCCCCCCCCTCCCTCTTCAAGTAGTAGTCAAGCTAACCCACGCTACTCTGACGGAAATTGAGATTGCCAACGTTAATTAATAATTTTCAGGAGTTTGTTCGGTGTTTTTAGATCTATGATAATAGTAAAGAGGAAAGCTATGCATGAGAAATTTGCCTAAATGTTTTGACCTTGTTGTAATTTTATTAATTTTATATAAATGTGCATTTACCTACGAAAATCCACACAACCATCCACGTCTACTTTCTTTAATGGGCTGGTTGAAATTGACCCTTGTGTAAATTCGAAGCGGAATATACACGGCCTAACAGAAAATGATTGAGCCGTTGCGGACAACGGCTGAGAGAGAGAGAGAGAGAGAGAGAGAGAGAGAGAGAGAGAGAGAGAGATACCAGGAATCTTCATTTTCATTTCCTGTCGGTCAATATTAAGTTCCCCCTCTGGCCCCTTACACGAGATAGGTGCAAGTTTTCTCTTCTTCCTAATGCCCAATACATGACCAGCTCTTCATGTTTTCGCCAAAATCTCTGGCTTAATAACACTCTATTGTTTAAAAATATAAAATATTTTTAATTAAATTTTATCATTTAATAAAATAGTAATTTATTTTAAAACTAACTTTATTTTTTTATATTTATCTTCATTAAATAATTTATAATAAATATAAATTTATTCACTGATAAGAGCACTTATTTTAAAAAAATAATGATTACCTTCAAAATATTAAAACTGTATTATATTTTTAAATATTTAATTTTAAAAAAATATTATATATTTTTTAACGACGCGTCAAGTCCAGACTACGAGAGAGGAGGGAGAACAAAGATGGGGAGACGTCACGGGCTGCTCGGCTTGCCTGCACAAACTTTTCAACGCATTTGAAGAAGTTGACCCGTTGAATTTGAATACCGACGTCGCAAAACGAAGTAAAATCCAGAGAGTAAAATTTTCAATAAAATTCACGGCATTTTAGTAAATACATTCAAGAAAGTAATAAATGCCATTAATGATCAAAATTTTGAAATCGCACAGAGACATAAAACACAATAAAATCAATGAGAGGCAGAATTTCCAATAGTTGCATGCGCTGGGCAATCGGGTTATTTAATATCAGAGTTGAATTATGAATGCGATGGCTCCGCATGTTTCTGAGATGGACCCAAAAACAAAATCACCATTTCCGGAGAAAGATTAAGGACAGACAAACCTTGAGATAAGCTGTGCCCGAGTGCCGGTATAATTAGATGGTGGAGAGAAGAATAATGATCCTCTGGGACAAAAGATATAAAACCACATGAAGAACGTGAAAAGAAAAGAAAAGAAAGGAGGCGGGGGGTGTGGTGGGAGGAACCGAAGAAAGAGATGAAACGAGGGCGAGAAATATAAGAGAGTGGAGAGGCCAGGCGCCTATGTAAAGAGGGACTCATTGGGGTTGTTCTGTTTTTAGTGTTTGCTACAATTACAGGGCTTGCCTTTGTTCCTTCTTTTCCCATTACCAATCCATACCCCTTCCCTACCCTCCGCAATCTACGCCCCTACTTAACATTAACGCCACCTCCCGCGCCCCTCTCCTTTTTTTATTTTTTTATTTTTTATTTACAATTATAATTCAAATTCAAGATTCTGTTTCTAAGCTTTTTCCCATGGAATCTTCAACTGGATGCACTAATTACTAAATTCTGCACATATTAATGATATTGAGCGCGGAAGAAACTAGCATCGCCAATCAATAGGACTTCCACGAGTCCATCATGCATTTGGGGTTCATATCTTACATTCTCCAGCAACCCTAGTTATTTGGCATCATTCACCAATTTTACCAAATTCTGGCCAGGAATACAAGGTTCATACAAAGGAAAAACTCAACTCAAACCCTCACAAACCCAAAAAAAAAAAAAAAAGGAAGCAGCGGATTCTGCCACCGGAACAAAATCGGCAGAGTGAATCCGCAGGGTGGGGCGGCTGCGGCAGGGGGGGGAGAGAGAGAGAGAGTAACAGTGTCAGTCTCAGAGCGCCACCAGAGGATCTGACCCTAACAATATGTCTTGAAAGTAATCGTCCACCTGGCACATCCCTGATGGCGAGCACGCTAGCTCCCAATCTGTCTCCCCCGCTCCTCCTCCAATCTCCTCCGCCATCACCCTCGTTGTTTCCCAATATAACGGCGATGGCTCTTCCCACATCACCGACGAGTATTCTGGCGTTTCAAAGTTCCTCAACATGTCATCCCATACCGGCATCCCTATCCTCCAATTCTCCTCTTCCTCCCACAACCTCCTCTCGTTCGTCGCCCCTTCCCACTCCCCGAATGGCTCTTCCCCTCTTTCTTCTCTTTCGTCCTCTTCTCCGCATGAGGCCGTCGCCTTTTCTGGTTCTGTTTCCTCGCTCGTATTACTTCTAAACTGGAGCACCGATGTCGGCGATGAAAGATTATGAGAATCGTCTCCCGATTCGTAGCCCGAACTGGAGGCTTCTGGCTGCACTGACACTTTCATCTCCGGCTTCATTGTCATTTCTGCTCCTACTTCTTCGGCCTTGTCCCTCGCCGGTGGCGTTGCAAAGTTCGTCAGAGCATCGGGTCCTCGCAGCTTGATTGCCGCATTATCGTAAACCATGGCTGCCTCCTCTGCTGTATCATACGTCCCCAACCACAGCCGTACTCGTCTAGCTGGATCTCGGATCTCTGCCGCCCATTTCCCCCAAGGTCTTTGCCGTACACCTCGGAACTTCCTGCCGTTATTGGTCGTGGAAACCTTCGCCGGCCGACTTAAAGTTGCCGTGCTTCCGCCGAGCCTCTTCCGGGCATTGTACGGGAGGGTCCCGTTTTTCGCGCTAGTCTCGATGTCAATCTGGTTCACATACCGCTTGACTCTGGGTCGACCACCAAACTCTCCTTCCTCGTCGCTGGAGGAGTCCGTGGCATCCGGATCAGTTACGGATATCCGTACGACTCGCGGCTCTGTCGGATTGTTTAAATCAGAGCCTTTGTGCCTCGCGAGCTTCTTGGTAAAGCTGTGATGCACTGTGTATTTGCATAGGATGCTTTTCACCATGATTTTTGTTTCTATGCTATGTCGAACAGATTCAAGTGTTGGCGAAACAAATATGGCCAACCCCAGGAATAAAAAGAGAACCGTGAAGAAGAAGATAGAAACTTTATGATGAGCACTCCAAAGGGATTTTACTCAGAAATCTGCCAAAAAGACATGCAAAGGTGGGCGAGGGAAGGACAAAAGCTACAAAAATAGTATTAAAAACTGAGACGGTAAAGGAAGGGAGTGATAGGAATAAAGAGAAAAGAGCCAGGAGCTTTTTCACATCATGGGCGGAAAAGATAACACCGGAGGTCCCTTAAAATCTGAAGCCAGAGCGACAGGGGCTTTAAGGAAATGTTGAGAAGATCCGAACCGTGGTTGAGCAGCTATGACCGACTCTTTCCTTGGAACTCAGTATAAGAGTCGGGGTTAACGGGAGAAATCCGGGGATTCAAAAGCAGAGGAAATTACAAAGGAAGAAAGATGCAGATTCTTGGAGACTTGGTGGCCCTGGTTCAGGAGACTTATAGTACTCGTGTTTAGCGGTTGAATGGGCAAGTGCAAGAGCCAAGGAGCTAGGAAAGAACACTCTAGTTGCTGAGAAGACCGAAACACCGAAATTTCCCTTTTATAGGACCCAACATCCCAAATGGGGACGCTCGCAGCATAAGACTTATTTATTATATTCATATTCTCTCTCCCTTGTCTCTCTAAGCATAAAATATTAAAATAATAGAAGAAATGCCACCCCTTGCACATTTGTTTCTTTTGAACATTGAAGGTGTTTTTGTTGAGAAGGGCAGGAGAGGGAGTGGGGAAATTTCCAGTCCGGTGAAGGAATAGCACCAGAGTTATGATGATACGATCCGCCGCATCCTTACGATGTGGACACGTTTCCTGAGTGGGACCCTGAGAGGAGATCTGGACCAATGAGGCTACATCCAACGGTGGTGAGCAATCATATGAATCCAACCTCGAACATCGTGATAACAGTCACGTGAGACCCAAGATGCCCGGTCCCTTATGGTTAGTGGGTCAAATCGCTTTGACTAATCAAAAATACAATCATTTACCTTAAATTAATTTGGATTCAAAATATAAACCAACTAATACATGTAAAATTATTTTTGTCATTTTATTCTTTATATTTATTAATTTAAATATTTATATAAATATATCTTTCACTTATCATAAAATTTATTGATAATTAAATTAAAGATAAAAATATATATGTATATTTTTATAAAAATGAGAATTTTATTGATATATAAATTTTTAAAAAAATTATTTATATTTTGGATTTAAGAAGGTATCTTTTATCACAAATGTAGCTCATTCCCTTTAAATAAATAATACGGGGTCAGGATTAAAGAAAAGAAAAGGAGAAAATGAGTTAATGAGATTCAGGGGATGTTTAGAGACACTTGAATAATTTTTGCCGGGAGTGAAAAGTTTTTAAACTTGATTTTTTGTCGTCCCATTGAAATCCATGCATTTTGTATATTTACTTTTTACAGCTATAATTAACGTGGCCGCTTGCCATCAACCTAGAATTCGCCGCCTTTTATAATTCCATCTCTGGTAGAGTCTCGAGACACGCCTATTCCACACGCCTAAACGACTTGTTTCTTACAAGACTGACCCAGCCCCGAATGCAACGGTTCTGTGCGAAGGTCTGATGGCTCGCTGCATCTGTTCTAGCACTCATCCATTTGATCTTTTTTTCTTTTTTTACGTGACAATTAAAACTTTGTTTAAAAAAAAAGATTTTCATCTTCGTAAAAATGACTATTTTTTGGCTAAAATCCTCATATTTGCTGCTTGTATAATTGAGATTAATTTTTAATACAATCATTTGTTTGGCCATTTCTTAAAATTTGATTTATCACGAATGAGTTTTTCTAACTTGGTCTCTTAATTACAAAATTAAATTATTATCTGTAATATTATGCTGTTAATATACGGCAAATAAAACTGGCAGTAAATTATTGAAAAAGTATTATGCATGACTCATACAAAATATGCTACGCGTCATTATATTTTTTTGTTTTAGAAGTCGGAAAGAAAATCTTACGTGCAACAATTTTATTAATGAATAAGCATAACCCGTTCTAATTTTATCAAAAAGAATAACCCGTTCTAAAAGCTGCACGTGATATATGTCATATTAAAGAAAATGAAGAGATGGAGTGTGAGAGTTGGTTGTTGCTTGTGTGTGGTTTTTAGAAATGAAGAGAGAGAGAAAAAATGTTGCTGGAACAAAATAATTCCATGACACCTGGGTAATAATTTCTCAAGCTATATACAGAGCAGCACGTCCTTGCCAATTGCAACGCTGCGGGGCTTTTTTTTTTTTTGGGAATAATTGAGGCACATAGTCCCACCATAAAGATGGGGTGTGTGCGTGTGCGTGTGCGTGTGTTAAAATAAAACACAACCGCCCCTATAAAGCCTTCTGGTTTAGCCGTATAGTTCTTTGCAAAACTGAGAAAAATTAAACACCCCCGCCATAAAAAGTCTATGGCGTCACGTTGCATTTTCTGCTATGTCATTTAGTTTGATTTCTGACATGGACCACTTATTGTTGTGTGTTACAAGCCAATGCTGGACGAAATCCAGCAAGCAGTGATTTTAACATTTATGTACCAACTAATAATGTATAGTCATGACCACGCATAGTCTAGATCATGCAAATTCAAGACTCAAATAAAACTTGAAAATAAAATGCCAGGCAATTTTAAATAACGTATAAAATAACCTTGAATAATAAAAAATTTTTGCAGGTAGCTACCTAATTCCTAACCATATTGTTGTGCATGTTTAGCAGTAAAATAAGTGCACTTATGGCTTCCCGCCCCAACAAAACACGCTACGCCCCCTCCCCCCCGCCGGGGCCAAAAATATTGACTCTAGCTTGGTCACAATGGCAAATTAATGAATAATTGAGCAAATTATCTTTTAAATTTTAAGTTGATAATATCATGAATTTTAAACTTATTTATTGTGTAAATTGTTCATTCAACTTTTAAAATAATGCTAATATGGCCCTTACTACTGATATTGATTAAATTTGATTGTTGGTTAATAAAAAAATGACAGAAAATTGCAAAAAAAAAAGATTGATAAATTTTTTTACTTTTTTTATTTTTGGGTAATTTATTGTAATTTTTAATAGTTTTTAGTATTTTTCTACCATTTTTGAGTAAATTATTAGTTAAAATTAACTTTTATTAATGCCAAATGCTATATTACATTGTTTTTAAAAGTTGGAGAAACAACTTGCACAATAAATAAGTTTAGGATTTGTAATACTGTTTGTCTCAAATCCAAAACACTAAACCCAAAGCAAAAGGTTTGCGAAGCCCAAGACAAGAGAAAGGGAGTGTGGCACAATTGTAGTCTAACTAGGCAAAGATAAGTGAAATGATGCGCTTTGGGAAAAGCTAACCAAGTTATACACACTCGTCCTACTACTTGAGTTTCTCACGCTCACCCACCTAAACCACATCACACGATTGAGCACTTTCAAGTGGTTACAAGCATGGATAGTTATCTGTTCCCATTAGCGTCGAGTGCCAAATTCAAATGAGAGTATGGTGTTGCCATTTGTTATAAATAGACAATGAGCTCATAAGTAAAAGCCCCTGACACTTTGCCAAATTTTCCTAATGCTTGCACAGCTAGCGTAAACTATCCAAATCTTGACTATGTTATCCTCAACTTCGTATTGTGCAACCCATCATTTGTGTTATGTGTCCATCAAAATCAAGGCCAAGGCTTTCACCTAACAACAGCTATTACTATATTCCCTCCATCTCAAATCATAAGACATTTTTGAATAAAATTTTACATACTGATAAACCTTATTAAATACACTTGACAATCTTATTTTTTCAAAATAAAAATATAAACTTTTAAAAATACCCATCATTTAATACATTTAATGAAACCTCAATTTACTCAAAGTGTCTTATATTTTGGGATGAAAAATTTCTTCAAAGTGCTCTATAATTTGGGACGAAGGGAGCATTATATATTAAAATGAATGAGGAGTAGGCCATATTAATGGAGAAGAGCAAGCTAATTTTAATATAGTGCCCCCTTCTTGACCCCAAGTTCTTGCAAGCACAAGGGCCCTTGCTGCAATTTTTCTTGAAAGCGAAAGTATAATTTTGCCCTTATGTGATTTAAAAACTCATTTCATGCATAACATCATGTACATAGATGCACAACACAATGTCTATACATGTCTAATTGATCCATAGATTTAGTAAAATGAACAAGTAATGCACACAATATACAACACAATGTTCATATATTCTCAACTAAATATTCATGCGCGGACACATATAGATATTGTCTTGAGAATTGATGACCATTTTGTTGTATATCCATGGATATCATGTTGTGCATTTATAAACATTATGTTGTACATGCAAATAAATATAATTAATATTGTTTTATGCATCTATAAACATCATGTTATACATCTATAGATATCATGTGGTGCATGGTTTGAGTTTTCAATCACATAGAGGCAAAATTGTAAGGCCTCCATTGTGATTCTCCCTGTATAATGAATATGACGAGCGGATACATGTGTGTCCGTACGTACATGTGCAGTAGTGCAGCTTGATCCATATTTAAATGTTTAATTCAACGCTCATCTCCACCGCAACTCGCGCTCTGCATTTCAAAGTAACACCAAGTTCCCCAAATTAATTTGTTTCTAGCTGTTTTGTTTTGGTATTTTATACTCTTGCCCTCTTCATCTTTCATAGTCCTTTCTTGCTTTAACTCCGTCACACGCCCACACACCACTGTACATCCTTTTTTTGACATTTGTCTGCATCTATATATATCACCCTTCCTGGCCTATATTCACTTAGCTTCTTCTCTGAAATTCAATCTTTTGCTAGTGGTCGGCCTGACTATGTATTCATCTTTCTCATATGTATATATTCACATATATAAGATCATAAGAGTACGTGACATTGTTTTTAGTCAATAATATGGAATTTGACCGCCATCCCTGTGAAAATAATATTATATATACATCCCTGAATATGATAAGAGCATAGAGGATGACTCGAAATATACAAGGCGGGCCAGAGAGAGAAGTGTAAGAGTTTCTCTTGAGATTTTTGTTGTGGTGGAAATAAACCAGACTTACTATTAGATAATAGTCAGTATATCGATCATACATTAACGCGGAGCAGATGATAATCCCCAAGTGCTGGTAATAAATCCCAAAAGAAAAAACTAATGAAACAAGATGCGTTCTAAAAAGGAGGGCCGTCTGGCTCAGAACTCTGAAACTTTATTATCATGTCGGTCTAACCATGTAGGTGGTGTGGTGTTGTGTTAGATCGAACAAAGGCAGCTCGATTTTCCATGGGAGCAACATTTAAAGAAGGCTAGCGAGCTGCAGGTGGTGGGATTCAACATATACTCCGAAACGGGGACACTTGAAAAGATAATTAATTTAATTCATGGCACAGTAACAATAACACGTACGCCCCAGAAAATTCACTTCTCTTGGAAGCAAGAGATGTTGGTTTTCTGTGTGTCTTACTCTCTC